ATAATTCCAATAATCACAAAGGACATAAATTCACTTTGTGTGCGCAAAATGCCTTTGCCGACCTAGTCATTACCTTGTTAAGGTAGCAGTGACATCACCACTGTGCTGTACATAGCCTGTGCAGACAGCAGAGCTGTGGCAGGGAGCAAGCATGGAGAGAATCTTATAGCGGCTCTGGAGCTCAATTTGGAGCCTTATAAATGGAATACATTTAGTTGTGTATTCCTGCAGCAATTTAATTACCTTTAAGTCAAAGTACAATTGGGCTTTATTTTATTTTTTTAAGGAATACACAACTGCATTGAATGGCATTTTTTATCTATATATATTGTATATTTGACTCTCACCTCTACATTAACCATTACAAAGTTGTGACTGAGTTCAGATATCTCCTTGGACTCTGCAAACTTTGGCTTCAGAACTGCACAAGAGAAAGACATTGGGATTTAGAGATCTTCAATCAGCAGGGATAACTCAGAGACTATACTGCAGGATTAGAATTCCGGCACCATCCACACAAACATGTCGTTACACACAATTTGTTTGCATACAAGAAGTACAGTCAGCTGTCTCATGTTGCACTACATTAGACTGCCTCTGTAAGCGGCAGTCCACATGTAATCATATATGACACGATTAGATGCGATTTGGAATAGATGGTGGTGACTGGGCGGCGAATAGTGACAATGATCTATTCCAAACCTCATGTAATCATACCATGTGCCATTACATGCAGACTGCCTCTTACAGATGTGTCCGCTGTCACCCGATCATTAACTTCAATGTGTACAGAGGCCACATCTAAACGGGACACCTGAGATTCCTGCCGCAGGAATCCATACGCTCGTGCCACAGGAATGCAAGATCACCCTGTATGAACAAGGTCTTAGAGCAGGGGTCTCAAAGTACCGGCCCGTGGGCCAATTGCAGCCTGCAAACCGGTACCATGCGGCCCACAGCCGGCTGATAAGTCAGGCACACAGTCACGGACCGAGTACCTGACTTGGGGGAGCAAATACACAGTGGGCAATTGTTGGATGCAGACTGCATTGCTGCTCCTGCCGGTGCCAGCCAGTGTGAACAAGAGCGGCGTGCGCTCTGACAGCCTTTACTGAACGCCGGCCCAAAGGAAGGATTAGTAAGGTGGAGACTGTACTAATGCCCCACTGCACCACCAGAGAATGTGCCTCTCTCTGCAAAAATTGTAAGCAGGTGAGGGGGCTCTTTTATTGAAAGTGTGAATGTGTGTGCATGTGTATTTCTGTGTGTGGGTAATGAGTGTGTGTATATATTAGTGTATTTCTATGTGTGTATTAGTGTATGTGTGTATTTCTGTTTGTATGTAGGCGGGGATTTCGCGTATTTCTGTGTGTAAGTGAATGTGTGAATCTGTTGGTCCTCTGTGATTAAAATTAGAACCTGTGGGGGGAAAAAAAACCACACATACACACATATACTAATGCTGCAGACATATACACATGTATACCCTGTTTCCCCCGAAAATAAGACCTACCCCGATAATAAGACCTAGTACTATTTTTGGGAATTGCTAAAATATAAGACCTATCCCAAAAATAAGACCTAGTGTGACCTTTCCCAGGACCGGTGGTGGCATAAGGGGAAACTTGAAGAGCCACGGGGGAGAATCAGCGGTGCCAACGAAGCCAGCGCTAGAGGAAGCGAGGGTGCAGCAGAGCCGCATAACCCGATGCTTCCTCTATAGCGCTGGCTCCTGTCACAGGGTGAGTGATACCAAATGCACTCCGCCTGTGAGGAATGTAGTGAAAGCGCGCTTTGCTCATTCTGGCCAGCGATTGGTTACCAAATTGCTCTTGGAAAGGTACGACGCACCCCTGATAACCATATTCTTAACTTTGCCATTTTGGATTATTTAATTTGGATTTGCATTAATTTTGGATTGTTGGACATTAAAAGAAAATAAGACCTACCCTGAAAATAAGACCTAGTGTGTTTTTGTTGAGCCAAAAAAAATATAAGACAGTGTCTTATTTTCGGGGAAACACGGTACATATTGATATGATACGATACACACAGAAACATTAACAGATAAACCATCACAAAAAAATATACTGACATTGCATACAAAGAAACCATCACAAACACATACTGATATTATAAACACATGCAGACATTAACACTGGTACACTGTATGTCCATTTATAAACTATCCACAAGGTCCTTAGCCCTGCGAATATCTGTCAATGTTTGTTCTGTGTGGATACATGCCAAATCAAAAGTTCTTTAGTTGCTTTCAATTTTTAATACAACACCGCATTATGGTCAGTGGAAGACGCTGAGGAGCATAGGAAATAAATACCTATTGTCTATGCTCTTTAAGCACCATCTCTAAAGAGAATAACTAAAGAAGGTTTGTTTTGGCATATATATTTGCACAGAGCGAACATTCACAGGTATTCGCAGGGTGAAAGCCCCTGGGAGTTGTTTATAAATGTACCCTGTATAGTTTTTTTTTTCAGGACAGACAAGGTTTTCTTTTGGCTACATTGTTTTGCAAAAATTATGCCATTTATAGACATGAAAAAAAACCTACAAAATGCATTTTTTCCTATGTACATTAGTGTTAGTTTATTTAAAAATATGCAATAAAAAGTATAAATCCTATTCTATGACTTGCCCCATTTATAAGAACACTAAAATTATGTTTCTTGTAAAGCATTGCAAAGGTACTTACAGATTAAATAAATGCAAACCCAATTAATGGTTTAAAAATAATAAAAAATAGCCGAAAAATAAGAGCTTAGGAGAAAAATAGAGCAATTAGTTTAATAGGGTTAATAATGGTAAAGTATTAATGAGGAATTAAAAGCAATACTCTGTCATTTTGACAGGTGGGAATTGCAGACAGAGGTAGAGGGAAAGGGTGCGTGTACTTTGCTCAACGTATGCAAGCAGTTAGGAGGAACATGAAGAATCTGGCAAGAAGAGTCCTAAACAAAATTCTGTTACCTTTGCAGGCTCCACACCACGTCTTGTGGATCAGAAGCATTATCGGCAGACCACTGCAAAGAAAAAAAACATTTAAATACTATAATTTTACTTTACTTTTACTTTACTTTTTAACTAAGCTAAAAGTGAAGTTCACTCCTGACACTGCTATGCAGGTACATCCCACTTGCCAGCTTGCCAGGACCTGTAATAATCGGATCTAAGCAGCAGTAACACGGAGTGCTTGAGCAGGTAAAACACTCAAAGTAACATTACACTGTCATTAATGATTTAACCCTAAAGGACATGTGACCCACTGAAATGAATATATGTAGCCCTTACCTATCCATGCGTGCAGCAACCAGGCTTCCTACAGGCAGACCGGTACACCAAAGTCTTCCACAAAAGGCCAACTTTACAGTATGCCAACCACCAAACCTCAGAACACAAGTTTGTTATCAAATCTATTAAAGATGGCCTGTTATGAGAATTCTAATTTGATATGCTGAACTATGAACTTATTGTATAGTTAAAGGAGAACTATGAGGTGAGTGATTTCCACTCATCCTCATATTTAGAGCCGACCTGCGACAATTAAACTGTCACAGGTCAGCTCTATAGATCGGGAAGTGAGAGTACACATACAGTCGCTCGCTCACTTTCCGATCATCTCCCTGCAGAGAGCGGTGACCGTCAGTCATCACTCCCCACAGGGATCCCTCCCCTCTCCTCCAGCACTGAGTGGAGGAACGGATGGAGGAGGGGCGGGCACAGCTGGCTCTGCCTCTAGATAGGCAGAGCCCGCTGTCAATCAGCCAGCTGGGTGGATCTCGACAGTATTGTTGGCATCTGTCCCGGCTGCGGTGCTCTCAGTATATAGCGAGCTATATACTGAGCTTTGGGTCACGGGAGGATGTTAGTGTATGTCCTCCCGTGACACTAATGAGAACTATGGGATAAAAAGGTTACCCCATAATTCTCTTTTAACATTCATTGAATTATACAGCAGGGCAAACAAGATGTCTTCCTAGGGTTGATAATGGGCTAGTGAGGGATCTTTGCATGTAACTTCATACGCTTTAGGCTTAAAGGTAATCGGCTCTTTTCAAAACTGGATATGGACAGGAGGTTCATCATCAGCGGCCCACCAAAGGCTGAAGAGGAACAAAAGGAACCAGGTAAAGTGGCAGAGAAGATGGCAGCGGGCTGAGTGATGACGGACAGCTCTGAGCTGTCAGCAATGGAGGGAAAGCTGGGGGCTGAGTCTGCCACAGTGTCAGAGGATGTTATGCATACCTACACATTCTGGGTTAACAGTCGTGGTCCTGCAGTTCTGCTCAACTGTAAATTGTCTTTTTTTTTTAAAGAATGTATTTCTATGTGTAATTTGCAATGATATACTGTACAGTATGTACATGTATGTAGAACTAAATGTCAAAAAAAATACACAGCAAAAAAAAAAAAACCTGTACTTTTATCTACATCATGCACACTGGACAATTAATCAACATCATCACATTTATCCAATGAGCAGGGAGGTGACACAGGAAACAGTAAAACTGAACCAGGAAGTAGTAGAGTGGTCACCCTGGTTGTGCAGTGTGGCAGAGGTGTGTTAATCAGAAGACTGGCTGCACAAAATTACACATCCTTTGATAGGCAATACAGTAAACATGCAATATATATATTTCAGCTAAATACAAGCGCAACTGAAGTATTGCACTGGACTCTTTTTCTTCTACCCTTTTTCAATGACCACAGATTTAAGAGGAACTAAGCTCTGTAAGTTGTGGCCAAAAAGAACCAAAAAACAGAGGGCAAATGACCAGTCACCAATATTGTCTGCAGTCTCCCTGCAGCTGATCTTCCCCATTATTAACTTTCTATGCCTTAAAACGATATTAAACCTGACTTTTAAAAAAATATTAACTATATGGATGCCCACCTTTGCCTGAGGCTGTTGTTTTTCTTTAAAATCTTTACATTCCTCATTCTCAAGTGGGTCCCCCCCCCCCCCCTGCACGAGTGCCTCCATCGGCTAATGGAGACACCCGTGCGCGCAGTGGCTGTGTGCGTCCATAAAGACACACAGCCCTGTGGCAGGTCACGCCCCTTCTCTCTTTGATTGATGGCTCCTCTGCCATCAGTATTCTCCCCCTGCAACCAGGATGTACAGGGAACAGAGGATCACTTCGGGACCGGCGGTGGGAACGAGCGTCACGGACAGGTAAGTGTGAGGGGACGAAAAAGGTTCTTGGCGCTTTTTACCGGAATGCAGAGAATGCATTAAGGTAACAAAACACCCAGACTTTAATACTACTTTAAGTTGGGTATACACATTTCTATTTTCTTCGTTCAACCTCCCGGCTGAATGAAGAAAATATAACAGATTATTTGATTAATGCTTACGAGCGCTGATCGAGGAATCTCCTGCTGTTTACATTGTATTCTGACAGCGGCCATCAGCCTCCGTCAGATTACTAGAACAGGGCCAGCAGCTTACTGGCTGTACGCTCTGTTCAGCCAAGAATTTTCTGACATGCTCCTTCAATCATCTGATCAAGGGATGGTGGTCAGAAAGGTGCCAACAGCGGCACCCACACTTCGAATTTAGTCTGGTTCATCAACAACCAGCCTTAATGCGAAGCATGTACACCCGGCTTTATTCTGTGTTGTGTCTTTGTTTGGAGTCGGCCATCTTGGCAGAGGCAGGGTTTTGCTTCCGTGTGTCAGATCATCTGACAAATGGATTAGTGAGCAGCACACTAGTGACGTTACTTGACATTTTCTAGATATGAGCTCCTTTAACCCCTTCATGACTGAGGCCCTTTTTTCAATTTTTGCACCCATGTTATATTCCACATTTTAGACCTGAAAATGACGTAAAACCCCCCAACATTATATATTTTAACATTTGGTTAGTGAATCATCTCTGATTGATGATTCAGTAACCAAACCATGGATCAGTGCTGTTTCTGGAGCCATACTGGGTCTAAAGAGTCATTTTCTGACAAGAGAACGTACTTTAGCATGATGCACCATTAATATAATAAGGACCTACTAAAAACAAAATGAGGATTGTGCAATACTTAAAGCAGACTGAGCCAGTAAAGGACATTACCTGCTGACCGCCTCTTGCTTCCCATCTTCTAAAGTTCTCCAGTGAATGTGATCTCCAAACCCTGGAGGAAAACACGACCGTTTATTACTACAAGCGGATCACAAGGTGAAATAAATAATCAGGAAACTGAATAACCAGTGGTACCTAAAACCGGCACAGCATATAAAGCCACTCAAAACATGAGTTTTAGCAATATCCTACAGTCTAGACCAGTGGTAGGCAATCTTGGCACTCCAGCCGTGGTAAGATTACAAATCCCATTATGCCTCTGTCAGAATTGTGAAATACTCCATGGATCTTGTAGTTCCACAACACCTGGAGTGCCGAGGTTGCCTACCGCTGGACTAGACAAATTCCATGAAATCCAATTAAATCGGGATCTGTGCTACTTACACCTGTTAAATATCTTAGAAGCATTTATATGTCATTTAGAGTAGCAGTGCGCAAATTCAAACTGAAGTGTCACTTAAAAGCCAAAAAGAGGTGTATAGGGGTATATGACCGACAGATACAAGATTCCTTATTGAGCCACATGGCCTGGGTTCAGCAGCTCTCCACAAAGTGGGCAGGGGTCACCCAAAATCTGAGACGTCTATGTCAAGTTAAGCCTAAAACAGAGCACCAAACATTCGTATCAGGAGTGTAAAAGTAATTTATTAGTACTGTATACGTAACAGTCAGGGCCGGGGGATCATCAGTGAGTGGGTGCCTGGAGTTGAATATGTCACACTATTCTGACATTCAGACCCCATTCACACTGAGCTACATCCCACAAAGTGTTTTTTTTCAGCCCGTTTTTGAGCTGAGCGACATTGAGCTACAGTGCACATTTTGTCACGCTATGCAGCGCGACTTTTCGCAGTGACTTCGTAGCTGCTACATTGGGCTGCAACCAATCAAAAGCGGTCTTGATGTGACATTATTCCTTCCTTCTTATATTTCTGTGCAAAAGTGACACTTCTGTAGCGCGACATTGAGTTACACTAAAGTCTATTGGGCCAAATCGCACAAAATCCGCCAAAAAAATAGGTCATGTTCGAGCGACGAGCTACAGGCGACATTGAGCTGTGAGATGTGAACACAGCTATTGAGCGACATTGAGCTGATAGTTGAGCGATTTTGGAGCTGAAATCGTGCTACAAATCGCTCAGTGTGAATGGGTCTCAACTATAGGCTGGTTGCCCCCTGACTGTGATTGCTACATGCGGGATGGATACCCCTGAGTCCATTTCACACGATTATTGTGAAAACTCTAATAAAGGGGGAACGTCTGGTCCCTGAAAAGGATCGGCTGCATTTGTTTTTTTGTGAGCTAATAAATTACGTTTGGACTCATGATATATACGTGTTTGGAGCCCTATTTGGCTTAACTAGACGCGCCATTTTAAAGGGTAACTTCAACATTGAATAGCTGGGCGTTATTAACCACTTGCCGTCCGCCCGTAGTAAAAAAAATGGACGGACGGCACTGCAGCATTTGCGGGTTGCCGTCTCCAGACGGCAATTTTTTTCTGCTCGCGCGCGCCCCCTAGCGGGCACGCACGGGCAGAAATGACCCGACCAATGCAAACACCAGTTACCGGGTGTTTCACATATAGGCGATTAGCGGCTCCATAGCCCGCCGATCGTCTATATGTGCTCGTTCGCCCGACCCCTCACCTTGAATCCCGCGATCCGCTGCCCCGTCTGCGGCCCGGGATTGGCTCGGAGGGCGTCAGGAGGAGGAGGACGGGAGATCAGCTCCTTGCTGATCTCCGTCCGGGCTGTGAATGCAGAAGTGATGTGTATTACATCACTTCCGCATTCACCTGTCAGTCATCTGGCTGCTATAGCCAGAGAGAAGAAGCTGATAAAGCAGATCTCTGCTTCATCAGCTTCTTTTGGGGTCCACAGGTGACATTAGGGGTCCTAGAGACCCCTAATGTCTCCATAAAGAGGACCTGTCAGTGTGCCTTTGCTATTATATAGGGGGTTGTTATCCCCCTATATAATAGCAATAACAATAAGTGCAAAAAAGTAAATATAAAT